TTATTTATATTTAAAATTTTAATAAAGTAAAAATTATATACTAATTAGGAGTGGACATGGGTCGAGTTTTTGACCAGTTAAACATGACTTGAATATTATATCTGTCCACTCTCATATGACTTGATCTAAATTTAGGTAAACTGCATTTGACCCGAAATTGATCCAATTTTTAGGTAAAGATCTACACCGACTTGATCTAAATTTAGGTAAACTCCACCTGACCCGAAATTAACACAATTTTTAAGTAAAAATCCACATCCAATCTGACCGAAAACACACACACAAATAAATATATATATATATATATATATATGAGATAAAATAGATAACTAATTGAAAAATATATAAAATGGTATTATTATAATTATCCCTATATACATATAAGGAATCACTCTTGATTCGAGTAATAAATTTTTCACCTTAAACTTAAATCCACAATTGTCTTTATACTTTAAAAAATTGAATTTGATCCGACCCGAATTTTAAAAAATTGACCTTATAAGATCAAATCGGGTCAAAACTCATCAAGTCTGAATCTAATATCCATCCCTAATATTAATATATAATAAAAAATATTTTAATATAAGAATTGTGCTTAATCAAACTTAAATTCGTCGTTATAAAAATGGATGTATTTTATATAAAAGTTAATTTTTATATATCAACTTGTATCGAACTAGTACAAAAATGTATCGTGTTGACAAGATACTTGGAATTAGTCCAAAACTAACTCATGGGCATATCACAACTAAATACAGCCGTAGAATTAAACATTTTATTTTAAGGGGGCAATTATCAAAAGTAAGTTTAATAATAATCTTATTTATTAAATTATGTACTTGTGACTTCACGGGATAAATATAAATTTATAATGTAGTTTTCGATAAATTCTCTCCGAAATATTTTGAAAAGAAAATTAAATAAAATTGTAATAATCGAGTTTAACATTCAAGCTATGCAAGAAATTATTAAAATTTTGAGTAAACTTGTAAGAATTTACCTTTATTTATTGAATAAAATAGAAGCCTAAAAGGATTTAAAATATTAAGTAAGATTGTTAATTTTTTTTTCAATTTTTATCCATTAAAATTTTTAGAGATCAAAATTTGGTTTTTTTCCAAATATATTTTCTCTTATTTCTTATTAAAAATATTATAAAAGAATAGAGAAAAAATAAAATGAGTCAAGAAATAATAATAACACTAATATTAAAATAAAAATTCAAGAAAAAAAATTAAATTTGTGTGTGCATGTATATATCAATTATATTTTATTAATATAACTTATTACTTTTAAAGCTTTCACTTATAAAAAATAAATTTATATTTATAAATTTATGATTTCTACCCATAACAAATTAAGTTATATATTGAAAATATATTGATGTGAAAATTTTATAATTTTAAGAGCATAATAACTTTTTAAATATTTTGATAGGACTAAATAAAAGTTTTTAAAAAAATTATGCGGTTTAATGAAAAAGTTTATAAGTTTTGGGGGGCATGATCACCTCTAATATCCATTGTTTTCTACGGTTAAGTGCATAGGTTTATTTTTTTAATATGAATTATCATACTTATCCTTTTCGAGTTGAGTAGGGCCACAATAATAATAAAATTATTTCAATAATTATATATTTTTCCTACAATAACGTTAACAGTTTAAAGCTATGGGAAAATATACAGGTAATGGCGCTGTATGTTACTGGGGGACTCAATGCAATATTATCTCCTGAACATCAAAAGGAAATCATTCGATATATCTATAATCACCAGGTACAACATTCGAAATCAAATATATATATATATATATATATATAACTTAATACAGTATAATACCAAGCACGAAACCCTTTCTTCTTTGCAGAATGAGGATGGAGGCTGGGGACTACATATCGAGGGTCACAGTACAATGTTCGGAACAGCATTAAGCTACATTGCCCTGAGGCTGCTCGGAGAAGGGCCCAAAGATGGCGAAGAAATGGCCGTTGCTCGAGGTCGAAAGTGGATACTAGACCACGGAAGTCTGGTCGGAATTCCATCTTGGGGCAAGTTCTGGGTCACGGTATGTGTATATTATATGTCGCAAGCTTATAGATTTCAAATGCATAGTTAAAAACTTTATTCGAGAGTATATTATATATGCGTTAAATATTTTTGGATCTGTCATTGGCGTCAAATATAGGTCCTTGGTGTTTACGACTGGGACGGTTGCAACCCTATGCCTCCGGAATTCTTGCTTCTACCTAACATCTTACCGGTTCATCCCGGCAAAATGTTATGCTACTGTCGACTAGTTTACATGCCAATGACGTACTTATACGGGAAGAGATTTGTTGGTCCGATCACTGATCTGATTAAACAACTGAGGCAAGAGCTATACAATCAACCTTACCATGAAATAAACTGGAATGCAGCTCGAAACACCGTAGCCAAGGTGCTTGCCGTTATTGTTACCGAGATCGGCGGACATATATGCAGCTAAATGCTAAACTCCGTCATGGTTTTGTTTCAGGAAGATCTTTACTATCCACATCCTCTTATTCAGGATCTAACATGGGGTGTTCTCTATCATGTCACCGAGCCAATATTAACGCGGTGGCCCTTCTCGATGCTTAGAGAGAAGGCATTGAAAGTTGCTATTCAACATGTTCATTACGAAGATGAGAACAGCAGATACCTCTGCATTGGATGTGTAGAGAAGGTATTGTGTCTAATAGCGTGTTGGGTTGAAGATCCGAACTCAGATGCATACAAGCGTCACTTAGCGAGACTTCCGGATTACTATTGGATTTCAGAAGATGGCCTGAAAATGCAGGTTAGAGATCAATTCAAACGTTTTAATACCAATGGCAAGAAACTGATATTTACATTATGAAATGCAGAGTTTTGGTTCCCAAATGTGGGATGCAGCTTTGGCTATACAGGCAATCATGTCAAGTAATCTAAGCGAATATTACGGACCGACTCTTCGTAAGGCACATGACTTCGTAAAAGCTTCACAGGTTAACTCTCCAGTTGCCAATATTGTTCTGCATCAATACCAGTGGCCATCTGACCCTTGCAATGTGGCTTACTAAATGATGTTATCTTGAAAGGTACGAGAGAACCCTTCCGGAGACTTCTCGGCTATGTACCGACACATATCGAAAGGTTCGTGGACTTTCTCCACACAGGATCATGGCTGGCAAGTCTCTGATTGTACATCAGAAGGACTAAAGGTAACACTTCAACTCTATCATATAATTCCTTGTTTTCCGGAATTTTTTCAGAGATGAACAAGTATTGGCAATGTGTTTGCGTCCTACAGTGTGCACTCTTGTTTTCACAAATGCCAAATGACCTCGTCGGAGAAAAAATGGAAACCGAGCGGTTATACGACGCTGTCAATTTCATACTTTCGTTACAAGTAAGAACCTAATGTTCAGGACGTTTTACTTGAGATACAAGTCATGAGCAGCAATCCGTTTCTTGTAAGAATCCACTCCTAATAATGCACATATTTTAACCATTGATGCAGAGCAACAACGGTGGTTTCCCGGCCTGGGAGCCTCAGAGAGCTTATGGTTGGCTGGAGGTAATTCATTTGACATCATTAACACCCTTCATTCTCCACTTATTCAAAAATCATATAGTATATCCGATAACTTTTCCTTTTTTCTTTCATAGAAGTTCAATCCTACTGAGTTCTTTGAAGACACTCTCATAGAAAGAGAGTAAGCATTCTCCAATGCAATTGATTTTGGTCCATAGTATTGGTATTTAACTTCAGCATCCATACTTTGTTTTTATTCTAGGTATGTAGAATGTACTTCTTCAGCAATTCAAGGCCTTGCACTCTTTCGAAAACTGCATCCCGAGCACCGGAGGGTTGAGATTGATCATTGCCTAGCAAAGGGGGTTCAGTTCCTTGAAGATACACAAAATCCAGACGGTTCATGGTAGAGTATAACATATTCTCGATATGATTGAAAAGAGAAGAATCATAATATGATAGTTTGATGAAATAGGTACGGTTGCTGGGGAATTTGCTACACTTATGGTACATGGTTTGCCGTGGAAGGGCTGGCGGCCTGTGGCGGAAACTACCACAACAGTCCTTGGATGCGCAAAGCTTGTGAGTTTTTATTGTCGAAGCAGCTGCCGAATGGTGGATGGGGGGAGAGTTACCTTTCTAGCCAAAACAAGGCAGGAACAATAAATCTACTTTTTCTATATACATGCATTTAATACGTTGCTCTGCATCATCATCAGTTTATTCTTATCCCACACTCGTATTTAAATACTCAACTCCTTCCTCGTAGGTATATACTAACTTGGAGGGTAACCGTGCAAATTTGGTTCAAACAGCATGGGCACTGTTATCACTCATTAATGCTGGACAGGTAAGTCTAAAGTTCCCTCTTTACTAGAATTTCTAATCGTCATATTTTAACTCTATTTATTTTTTTAATATTTATATCCGATATAGAATATATTTCTAATCATATTTATGTTTGACACATACTTATAATATACACATGAGTGGAATAATTTAAATCCAGTTGTTGAATATGCTTGGTTGTGTTTGTAGGCTGATGTCGACCCTACACCCATTCATCGTGGAATAAAGGTCCTGATTAATTCACAGATGGAAGATGGCGACTTCCCTCAGCAGGTAAAATCTTATTTATGCATTCGTGTTCGATATATAAATATCAAGATATATTCGTATTTAGATTTGAATCTAAATAATATAAATATTATTGTGGACAGGAAATTACAGGAGTATTTATGAGGAACTGCACGCTGCACTACTCGTCATTCCGAAACATTTTCCCCATATGGGCGCTGGGAGAATATCGTCGCCGGATTCTATTTGCATGACCCTGCTTCATCAACCCCGTGAAAATACATACAATATCTCCAAAAATAACAAGGGAAAATGCTGATTCGTGTTCAACCAAGGGTCAAACCAGGTGTTTCTCATATATATAACATCATCAAATATATACATACATACATACAAATTCACTATCAAAATTACATTTTTTTATATTCTTCTTATATAATCTCTATCTCAAACATTTTTAATTGCAATGCTGATTCGTGTTCAACGAAGGGTCAAACCAGGTTTCGATAAAGCTAGACTGTACGCCCAGGGCAACGTGAGAAGTTTCTTAGTCCTTCCTACATAGGCTCGTTTCGTCAAGTTATCATAATCGTTTTCCTCAATTGCATCCAATATCTTCCGATACAATATCAACGACGACCATACCTACAGAAACATAAATTCACAACGTTAAAATTTGATCTCGACTTTGTCGAATACTGGATTTAAATGGTCGATGTGGAATTCGAGGCTCTCGGAGTATATATATACCGGCCATCGACTGTCCTTGTCGAGCTCGGAAGCTCCCTCCTCTGCTAGATTGAAAAAGAACCTTGCCCTCACGATTTGCTCCTTCATGAAATCTCTCCAGGCATCAGTTACCTTTCTGGAGAATATATCTTTGTCGGATAATCCGAACTGTGTGAGTTCTTCTTGAGGAAGATAAACTCTCCCCCTGCAAGCACTGAGAAGACAAAGACATCAGCTCGGAATAAGTTTCTCGACAAGATCGAGTCGAAGTGTTGGGAAGTTCTTTTCATCATCAAGATGAACACTTACTCTTCTCCTACATCTCGAAGAATGTTGGTTAACTGATTCCCAATGCCCAAGTAGAGTGCTGCAGTATATATAGTATGATCCGGAACAGAGGATTCCGGAGAGATTCCCATAACCGGAACACTCATTAATCCGACGGTTCCTGCTACATAGTAGCAATAAAGGTAAAGCTCTTGGAAACTTTTGTAGCGTGATTTTCTAGTGTCCATTCTCATACCCTCAATCATGTCCCTGAAAGGCTGTATCAGAAGCAGATTAAACGTTTATCCAGCATTCATTCTGCAACAATCGATCAAATAAACAGAAAATAAGTCTTTAATTGTACCTTGATATCCAAGGGAAAGTTGAAAACGGTATCGGATAGTGCAGCATCGAGCATGTCGTAGGGACGTCCCTCAAAGATATCTTCCAGTCTCTCTTCCCACCTCTCTAGTACTTCCGAATTCATGTAGTCCGCGTTCGGTCCGTCGACCAGTTCATCGGTCCTCCTGCACCAAACTGTGCAACCACATATTTCAGTGACAAAATTAATGTCCAAAACAATCTGGATCAAATTTCAACATACTAAATGATCTGCAAAAGCCAGTAAGAGTTTCATAATTACCATAAATTGCCCATATTGCCTTCTGCCGCTCCTTTGTCATCAACAAGGTGCCTGCATCATGATCGAACAAAGCATACATGTTCAAAAGAATTTCCCATTGAAGAATCAAAACCGATGACCATATAGAAAAGAGTTTGGGACCTAGATAGAAAGTCTTGGCATACTCGGCGCAAATGGTCCTACACTTATCGTAAGCGTCATCGATGAACATAGGATCGAACCGCGGTATCCGGGACTTGCCTTCCTTGGTGGATAAATTGTTAGGCCAAGATTGCCTTTGAACGACTCCGTGAACTCCTAAATCGACGTTGGAAATGCATTGCTTCGTCGATCCGGGGAAGACGACCGGTATTTTTGGAGTGGCGATCACTTGTGCTCTTGCCATCGTGAACATAGATTCCGGGACCTGTACCCTTCCGATGAAAGGTGTAGATGTGAAGGATAATGTTCTGAACATCTGCGAATCCTACCAAGTTTCAGACAGGATGATCAGACGACTGGAAAAAGAGAGATCAAATATTGGGGGAATTGTATTAACCCAATTGAATAGTGTGAATGTTGGATACACAAATCAGCATATATTTTATGCTGCTGATCCGAATCTTTTATTTCAAGATCTAACTGGTTGGAAATTTGTCGGATTGTATTTGTTTTATAATGATTTAATTGCCAATGTGATTACAATAAACAAAAATGCACGGTCATATCAATGATTACATTAAAAAGACGATGTTCCCCTTGGTTTTATATATGATGACGCAGTGGACATGTTTTGTTTGGAGAAGATGCTGTATTTGTCGAGACCAAAGAAGCCGAACGTAGGGGGCAACCACTGTCCAGTTTCGGGAAGTAGATGGGGGAATCTTGTTATTGCTTGATGCCTTGTTAGACCCTTCAGTTGGATTTTGATGCTTATTTACTTAATCATCTGGACTTTAGTGCACTTCGCTTATTCCCCTATTCTATGCCAAGAGCAGTATATAGGAGAATCCAAAAATAGTGTCAAATCCAATTAATTTAACCTCATAATAATTATAGCTGAGCAACAAAAACGAGAAAACCAAAGAACTGATTTGAACTAAATTTTATGGTTTGATTCGGATTTTTCATTTTACGATTCAGTTTCGGTTTAATTTAAAAATATAATTATACAATTCTGTTTGATTTCAATTTTTCCATACGAAAACTATTTATTCCAAATCAAACCAAATTAAAAAAATTTATCCAAAATAATTTCATTTTGAATTTATTGTGAGAAAAATAAATAAAATCTAAAAACTAATCATATTTTTTATGAATACAAATTCAAATATCTGCACTTTCTTCTTTGGATGTTGAGTTTGAAAAATAGTAACCAGTCAAAAATTAAATTGAAAACCGTGATTTTTATGCCATTCAGTTTCGGTTTCAATTTTTTAAAACCCGTAAAGTGCGGTTCAATTCATATTTTATTGAAAAACTGAACCGAACTAAATTCACCCCAAATAATAGTCCAAGATTTAGAATCTTTCATAACAATTCGAGCATTTAAGATTGATCCAAAAAGGTCCATATGAGTTAAATAACCTAGGCCGGTTATTCTCATCCATAGAACTAACCTAGTTATTCTGCTCCATAGAACACAAGTAAGAACAAAGAACCCTACGTCCCCTTGAACTACATTTCCCTCAATGATCCACCATTGCCTGCAAAAATGGGGTCTACAAACAGTTTACTATTGTAGTTCACTTGCAGAGCAGCTGGCAGTTTTTATATTTACATCAAACCACCTACATGTGGCTCAGTTCAAACTTTATTACTTCACATATTGCTCCTTAAAGCATTGCTCGCGGATTATTTAGCAAACCGCAGCATCCACTCTGCAGCTATTTCATCGTGTTTAGCTTTATCAGCCAAGTACAAACGAGCAACACCAGAGATGACAGGAGTATCTGTAATATAAAAAGAACAGCCATATCTTCAGCATGATCATGGCATATTTTATTTGATCAAACTAACGATATTTTAAGCGGTTGCGGCATTGCAACTTCGTTTTTGTTTTAGAGAGCTTAAAGACAACAACAATGTGAAAAGTCAAACACAAATCAGATATTGTTTGCTGCTCCTTGTGCAAAAAATTGCACCTACCTGTTAAGAAATGATAGACAAACTCAAGATGTATTGGGGAACTTACAAGGGTCAGGATTTGTGAAAATTGCTCTGATTGCAGTTAGAACCTTTGTAATCGTTAGGGCAGGGCTCCAACTATCCTTCAAGATTTCTAAACTAAGATTGCCAGCAGCATCGACATTGCAGTGATATATTCGAGTTTTGAATACTACCTGAAAAATTATACATGTAATCAAAAGGAATAAGAGAAAAAGTATGGAAGTAGTGCAAAATACTCATAATTTTCATAGAAAAGCTACCCAAACGAAGTATCAGGCTATATGGAGAATAGAAGATATTTGTTTAGCGTTACACGTGTTGAGTAAGACCACATAGAGCTCTCATATATATGAAGAGAACCTCGTATGCTCATGAATCTTCTAACAATTTGAAGGGTCTTTTTAGCACTTACACTTGGGAAACGAAAGTGTGACACTATTTAGTAATAATCAAAGGCTCAAAGCAAAGCTAGTGTGAATCCAGGTAAGTAGGCAGGAAACGAAGAAATTAAGATTTTCCAAGCCTAACTCTTTTATTGGCACTTGCCGAACCCCCAACTATTTGAAATATATACTAAAATAACTAGAATACCATGCATATTATAGATTTAATGTGATTTCCAGTTTACTATGTAGAAACAAGGCATATGGTAGTCAAAATACATATTACTATAATCATGTTTTTTCTCAGCTAGCAAGCATCAAGTACCTCTCACTTTCATAAAACACCCCGTCACCCTTTCCCTCCAACATAATTAAAAATTCGAGCAGCAAGAGAAAGAGAGCACAAAAAGGTGTGAGAGGAGCAAGAAAAAAAAGATATGAAACCATAAATTATGAGTACTTGATCCGCAGAGCAATATTAGACAACAAAAATATTGTTTAACAATCTTCAACGATATGATTAATGAGAATACATTGGGAGGTTTATAGGGATAATCACTTGGAAATGTTATGTCAAGGAAAAATATGCCACCCTGGTATGGTGTTCCTGGAAACATGAACATTAGAAAGCTTGTCAATATAGCCGAGTTAACCTTTTCATGGGACAATAACAAAAACAGATGACCAATTCGGGAAGCTAGAATTGAAACCAAATTCATTCAAGCATGCATCTGTTACCAAAATCATATTCACAAAACTTTTCAATTGTTTGTTTTCTCTAAAGGAATCTGTAATTTGTATAAGGTTCAACTAATTTTGCCTGCAGCTTTTCATCCTTTCTCCTTTAGAGCTAAACAAGTAAGCTTTAATCTAACATTCAAATCCAAAGGGAATTACTACTGAACAGCAAGTTCAAGCACGAGAACAAGAATACAACTAAATTCAACAAAACCCAATTTCTAGAAAAGCAAGAATTACGCCAGTGAGATTAAAACCAAGAGATTTAACAAGCACCCATTTCTCAGAAACGGTAAAACCGATGTTTAAGAAATACCCATTTGTCAGAAAGGGGGAAAAGTTTATAAAGAAAAGGAAGATGGAGAAGAAGAGTTGTAAACCAGGAGGACCAATGATGGTGGCGATCCAATGGAAGAGATTGTCACCCTTGGGGGCAGCAGAGCAATGGGGAGGAGGGTCGGCATTGAGCTCGGACATCTCCCTTTGTATCCTCTTCCTTGAAGCCGACACCGAGGTTGTTGAAACCCATGTTCCTCCGGCTGCTGCCGCTGTTGTTGATGATGATGATGATCTTCCTCCTCCTCCTAGCATTTTTGTTATCTTCCCTCAGACTTCTTTCTGCTGTAATAAAGGAAGCATATAATTTCTTCTTATATCTTTCACTCTCTCACAAAAAGTCTCTGCTGATCAGAACACAGTCTGATTTTTCATAGCGCTTTCTGGTCGGATTGGTTTAAACTATGATGTTTATAAGCTGGAAAAAAAACTAAAGAGATAAATTAACATTTAGTCATCAAATTTGATCATTTTTTAATTTAATCATCAAATTCTTTTATATTAATTTTAAAATTTGATAACCTTTTTCAAATTATACCACAACATTAATTGATAATTAAAAATATTATATATAATCTAAAAAATCAGAGAATATATATTATTCAAATTATATTTTTCTTTCAAAATTAAAATGCCAAATCATCCAATTATATGGTTTAATATCAAAATATATAATAAATACAAATTCATATATGCATGTGGATAAAAGTACAACGACCAATTTAAACACTGAAGTTAAATTAAAATACCAAACAAAATACTAACTTGTACCGGTTCAAACCAGCTACCAGTTCCAATTCAACCGGGCCTAACATTAAATAAATATAATGGGAAGAAAACAAAATCCAAGTCCACTTATACTGTCCTTAAAAATTCATGGCTGGAAATTTCAGGCCTACTTGCTGACTCCATAGTCCATAGCAGATAATTGAAGAAGAAGCAATAATGGTCAAGGATGAACAAGTGAATACCAACATGATCCGTAACAGATTAAAACAACAATCTGTTATCGTGGTGCACTGCTCATAGATTTTGCCGGATAATCATCTTTGGCCCTAACAAGGTTCCAATATCATAGCAAGATTACGAACAGACAAGCTGCTGAGATTACGAATTGAATCTTTGACATAGAAAGGTTTGGACTCTCTCCCATTGGACTTACAGGACCAAATGCTCCGGAGGGAAACAGCCCTCGACCGGCACTCGAATTAGAACTGTTTCAAGGAAAGAAAAAAGTCATGATCCTACATGATGATTTGTTAATATGGAACACTGTAAAAGGTTTTCGAACCTCACCTTCCAGTAAATATGCAGGACCTGTAACCTGCACAAGTTATTCACCAATGGAGTAATTAGCCGAAAATGACTATTGAAGTGACGAACAACTAATGCAATAGAATACATTTCACATGATCTGCATTAAAAGAAAACTTTGCCCGATAGATACAATGTAGTACTATGGTACTAATGCAGTATCTTTCACCAACTCAGTTTTCGAAGCTTTCACAATAACCTTTTAGGAGCCTGACTGAAACTTTAAACACAAGTAAAGTCACTGGCAAAAGTAAGACAAACCCAAGAAATATAGGACCATGAAATATTCAGCTTTGTAGCTTAAACTGAAAGTTAAATTCTACTTGAGTATCATAAAAGATAAAAACTACAGAAAATTAATAAGATCAATAATTGTGAGAAAACTTGTCACACTTACTTGGATCATTAGTGGTAATTGTGGCAGTCCCATCAAAATCACATGTCCCGCCAACGCTACGCATCTTTTGATAGTAATCGTTGTATGCATAAGATGCATGGTTCTTGATGCTATTTGGGAGATAACAGGGTTGTCCCGATTGTATAAAACTGCAATTGGCCTGACCTTGCCCACATGCCCAGTTAAGTCCATCCTGCAACTTATCTTCACTGGCGTCGTCTTTTGCCACACAGAAAACTGCAGTAGAATTTCCCGTAGTCTGACTAGAACCACTCAAACTCAAAGGAAAAACAGCAGTGCCGTTTGTAGAAATCATCCCCCAGTTCTTCTCGGAGACAGGCCCGGGTCTCTTGTCTTCATTAAACAATTCGTAGATGTATGTGTTGATGGGAATATTTGGCCGGCTGGGTGGACCTGAATTATTGGAAACCCGACGGATCAAATTATTAATGAAGGCCCCAGCATTTTCCACTGTGGCATCAGGTTCATTAGGTCCACCTTGCGAAGGCCATCCTGTTTCTGTGACAACGATAGGGATCCTGGAAAATTTGAGAGCATCCATAGAATAATAGGTTGCATCAACCATTGCATCAAACATGCTGTTATAGTGAAAGAGCGTGTTCGGATCAACAATTTGTTTGACAGAGGGGAGAGGCTTGAAAAGTGCATAATCAAGTGGAAAAATACCATTTCCATTAGTGTAACCATAATAGGGATAAGCATTTAACATAAAATAGGAGTTGGTGTTCTTCAAAAACTGGAGAAGGTGGTATATTGTCGAGTTCGGTGAGGAATTAAAGGCAGCAGTAGAGGGAGGGAAAGGCTTGGGGATGATGTCCAAGGATTGGGGGCTCGAGACTTTAACATGAAAATTTAGATCAGAAGCAACAAGTGCTTTATGGAGGTTGTTCATAGCTGTAACTAAAACAGGCGCAACATGAGGAACCGAGGAAAGAACCTCACTGCCAACAGCAATGGCTGTAATGTTGGTTGCAGGGACATAGGAAGCAACATTCTTGTTGACCCAGGCTGCTGCAACTGATGCGGATTGTCCAATTCCTAGGACTTCCTCATTTGTCACACCAACTGTTACTTCAATCCCACTGCCAGCAAGGGCTTTCAGCATGTGAGAATCGGCATCATAAAGTCGTACATGAGTGATTTGATGGTCTCTGATAATGGAAACGACAGCTGAAGCTGACGGCATGTTGGAAACATCGGTGCCTATGTTTACCCCAATGAATGCACCTATAAAGTCAATAATCTCAGTAAGAACCGGCAATAAACACTATGACATGTTATTTTTTATGTAGATTACCTAACATTAAGAAGACCCTTGTAACTCAATACGAAAAATAAATCGACACACTGGATTTTTAGAGGTAAATTCAAATAACGTGATGGCAATTCCGTTGTGCTTCATATTTTTTTAGCTTATAATTGCTTCAAGGGTGATCTCCGGCTCAGTAAATATTGGAACCATAGATTTACTTCCTTTACACAAATATTAACAACACTCGATTGACCAACTGTCCTAGCTTTCAAATAGAACTTGGCATAAAAGATAAACGATCAATGAAAACTTCTAAATTACCTAGCACATTGGCGAACATGCCAATTAGAACCAGAAGCAAGCTTCCAAAACATCTGACAGGAATCATCTGATCATAAAAAAATTCAGGTATAGCAATGTTTACTCTGGAACGGCGCTTAGATAGTAATGTTCTGCATCAAAAGTAAGAATCAGATATAGCAGCCTAAAGCTAGCAAAATCCTGAGAACTCACAGGAAAAAACGAAAACATAATAAACTCATAAAAACCTTTATAAAATGCATACACACACACACACATATACACGCGCACATCTCTTATGCAAGGAAAATGCACACTGAGAAGATTAGTGAAAGTAAATTTCCATATTCATTGCAGAACAGATACAACTACAAGTCAACTTCATCAATAATAGTTGTCCTATATGAAATCCACAACTCTACTCTTGGGGCACCTACTCTAAACAAAATATCAAGAAGACAAGTTTGATCATGCTAACTGTGCTAGCCAACCAATGAAGAGAAGAACAAATTCGGAAAATATTTGAGTTCGTAGTGTTCTCGCTCGAAGTTGAAAAGCAGTGTTACATTAATAACCATGTAGACGACAGCAAATTGAGCAACAGAAAGATGAACCTATCAAATTCACATGTGACCTTTCAAAGCACATTGTCAAGGAATGCACCTCCATGTATTACAGGGCAGGGAAAACAGGTATCGACCACATTTTTTTTCTGGAACAAGAAATCGACCTCTTTTCGACTACTTACAAATAAATAAGTAAAACACTCAGTGAACATGCTGTAGACATTATGTCAAGCGAAATCTTAGTATTAGAGGAGTTATTAAGTCCGGAGTCCAGACCAGACTTCCACAGTGGTTTTAAAACTTGTTCCCCATCTAATTTTGCTCATCAAGACCAGTATTTTCATGCATCTTGCACAGAAGAAAAAGAGAAACATTTATGAAGAGAAGCTAAGAAACTAAAATATCTAAAACACCCTTTCCCATTCTGAGCATAAAAAAAATCATTAACGGCTAGCAATGCAACTGTGAAAGAAAAGTCTAGTTCCAAAATGCCCAGATTCAAAGGGTACCCAAAGTTGCATTTTTTAAAACTACCAAGTAGCCAACTCCACTTAATAAAACTACCCATATAAAGAAATCAAGAGAAGGAAGTTCAGAAGCATCTGATCCAAGTTCCCAAGCTGCAAATAAAAGAATTCTGGGGAAAAACACACAATAAACAAAACAGATCTCTTATTTACATTATTAAATACATTTTCCATGGTAATAAAAGAAAGAAAACATCAACTTACATTTTACAAGTAGAAAAAAAGCAGAAGTTTAAAAAAATAGAAAGAAAAGAAAGGTGTTTGAGATGCAGAGTTAAGAAACCTGGGTGACGGCAGCTTGAGCTTTGTTTGATCTTTGAGGTTCTCAGTAGGCAGTGACTGTTTTTGAAACAGGAGGCTTAGTGGTGCTTTGCAAGTCTGTGTTGTTTTCTGGGTATCTTTTTTGCAATAATTTATATCAGATATAAATTTTTGGCACAAGAAGAATATAGAAGCAGCAGAATATTTGCTTGGGAAGTGTATAGTGAATAAATGAATCATTAAATTTAATTAAAATTTAGAAATAGGCATCGAGTTTGTCGCCGTGCGTCGTGTAATTTTCTTTTATCTAAAGAAACTTTCAAGAGAGGTTGTAAACAGCTGGGGGTTCAGCCACAACCAGACAACAAGGCTTTCTGTTTTTTTTTTCTTGTCCAAACAAGGGTCTTCACTAATCACTACTACTATCGTGGTTCTCCCCAAACAAATGAAATAATTTATCGTATGTTTATTATTGATTAGATAAAAATCATTAGTTAAATATACTGATTAGATGAAAATCATCAGTTGAATAATTATTAACTTTTATCGTTAATGTAATAAATCTTATTTTTTAGTATAACAATTAGTATTTGATTTATTAAATGCCTAATTCGAATCAAATATCTCAAAGACAATGACGATCTTTTCAATCCAATTTACTCTATCACAAACATTAGAATTTGAATCCTATTATTGTTTAAAGAATCTGATGCTCTATCTCACTAGACCAAATTGATGAAGTAATACATATCATGTATCCAAAGTAATAATATAGTATATGACATATATCTAAAGTGATTAGGTGATATGACATATATAGTGTAGTTAATTGATAATATAATATATATTGTGTATCTAAAGTGATTATATGACAAATATTATGTGTCAAAATGATGATATATCACATATCACATGTATAAAATGATGATGTGATACATACTAAATTTTAAAAATGATGGCATGATAAGCCTTAATACCAAAATTGATGATACGTCAAACTAATATTTGTTCAAGTGTAATTGTATGTTAGTGTGATGAACCGCTAGAAGTATAGATGAAAATAAAATACATATAAATATATAATATTTCGTACAAGTTAGTGTTTCACACGAATATAACTCTTTTTCATCGAGAAAAAACAGAATATTCAAATTTAATGTCAGTCAATTTAAATTTGTTTATATAATTAAATTTTATAAAATAATATTCAGACCGAACTACAACAGTGTAAATTATAAATATATTATTCAAAATAACAATATAGTTTAATAATTTGATTTGTGCGATCTTCCCTCCAAAAGTAATCCAAATTTTGATGGAGGAGTTGTAAAAGTGTGTGGAACGGAAACGTTTCCCGTTCTTTCGTCCTTTAAATGTTCATTGAACTCTAAAAATATGATAAAAATAACTCTTAAAATCAACGATATTTTTTTTTAATATTCTATCGATATGAATTATTAGAGTGAATAATGATAATAGGGGAGGAGGATTTTAAACTCTACTTTAAGAGATTTGACGTGTTAATCTTTAAAAGTATTGTGTTATGTTTTCAAAATTTATAATATAACTTAACAAAATGTTGTTAATTTTAGCGAGTAATTTAACGAAAGTTAGCGATTTAAGAAATGTTTGAAGACAAAGTGAAATAATACTACATATTACTGAAATAGCCATAGCAAGAGGTCAAGGATATGATCTTATTGGCAGTTTGGGTCAAAAAGTAAGCAAATTTACGAGACAAGATGGGGAAATGCAACAATTTTCAAAATGTGAGCTAAATTTCTGTATTGATAATCCCAAAAAGGCATAGGCCACAAATACACAGGCAATACCAAATTAGAGTAATAGTGGGAACTCATACTGTGAACTGAAACCGCGTTTGTTTTTGCTGTATAGTTGGAGTGCACCCAATGTGGGGACTGAGGATCCCATTTGTCAAAAAAATCACTTCTTTTTAAGTGTCTCGTACCCGATGATCATATTAAATCTCAATTTTTCTTTAACAATATTCCAAATTATACAAATCTTTATCTCTCACCAATAATCTTTTATACCTTTTAGTTGCGAAAACTACACCATTAGTCATCATTTTATTACTTTTTTTCTATTTTGGTCTTCAGATTCTTTTTTTCAATTAGTGTCACTAACATTATATTTCCTTCTTATTTTGATCACTTAATATGGATTTTATGTTTATGATTTTTATGTTATTTTGTATCTCCTCGTCAGTTAATCCGGTGATGTTCCTCACAATGTTCTTCATTTTCGCAGTTAATCTAGTGATGTGGCTGCCACGTTGAAAAAAAATGAAACGTGCATTATAAAATACATGAATAATAAAGTGCATTTTCATCGTACATGTCACGAAATGGTACTATTCTGAAAATCAATTATAAACGAATGTTAATTTAAGAAATAATTTTCTTGCAATCCCATAGTAACAGGGATTTTCGGATAGGATTTTGATAAGAGAAATAACCTCGGTGACTGAAAATGCCTTAAATATACGATTTTAACCATTTTTTTTGGATTTGTCAAAATGACCAACAAATTCGCAACGCGAACTCCAATTTTGCAACCAGTTTCTAATTTCGCAACGCGAATATATAAATCGCATTGCGTTTTCCAAATTCGCGTTGCGAATATGTAAATCGCAACACATAAGTCAAATTCACAACACAAAACTCTTATTCGCAACCGATAATCAAATTCGCAACACAAAAGTCAAATTCACAACGCGAAAGTCAAATTCGCAACATGAATAGTAAAAATCGCAACGTGAATAGTAAAAATCGTAACGTGAATAGTAAAATTGCAACGAATCTATATGTAAATTATCTCTTATCATCCATCTATAATAATTTGTTGGAAAAGTACATAAATAATTTTTATAAAAAATATTCGTACACGTGAAAAAATTTATATGTAAATGAACAACAAATCTATTTCATTTGTCAATCTTCATTACAAATTATTCTAAATTCAATTAATTAAAGTTTGAACTTTAAAAGAATTATTAACTCAGACTAATGAAATACATTTAAAAAATTAAATTTTGAATTATATTAAGAAAAACCGATTCTGTACACATGTAGATAAGTTTATTTTCCACTTCAAATCCAGTCTAGAAGCAGAGAGATACCATTTGAAATTCGCAATGTGATTTTGCGATTTTCTAAATTCGCGTTGCGATTTTTACTATTTACGTTACGATTTTACTATTCATGTTATGATTTTTACTATTCATGTTACGAAATTGAAAACTGAATTGCGAAATTGAAATTCGCGTTACGAATTTGTTGGTTATTTTGACAAATCCAAAAAAAATAGTTAAAATCATATATTATAAAACATTTTCGATAACCGAGGTTATTTCTCTTTTGATAATAACACGACAGAATATGTTTCGATGAACCGATTTATATATGAAGGTGATTACAGAATAAAATATGAAAAAAAGATTGTATTTCACAAGGAAAATGGTCACCAACTAATTGTGGACAAAACATGTCTTCAATTTCAGTACTAGATTACTAATTAATCTAAGACCTTAACAAAGAATATCTCAGCAGCATTAACTCCATGTTCGACACTACCAGTTGGACTCTCGAAAACCACGAAAATCCTAGCAAACTTTAGTTTAAACACCACCCTCCACCGTCAAATACACCGAACAAAACAAAAGATGGCAGCAGAAATATCATTGACTGCGAGTCCTTTCTCCATTTTGTTCCCTCTTGTACTCCTCATGGTATGGACTCCGACTCCTGCTTCTAACCGGGCTTCCAACTTCACGTGGGCTGCGGCTTCTGCTCCGTCTTGGGCTGTGGCGTCTTCCCTGGCTTGGGCCTTGGCCCCTGTCTAGACTCCGGCACCGGTTCCTTGAGCCATTGTATGGTGGGGGAGAACGTGAATACCTCTCTCGGCTGTAGCGTACTTCTTGGGGTGAAACAGATCTGCATAGAGCAAGCATCCATAGAATTATGTTAACCTTCAGATATATGGCATAAGCTTATGAATAAAGAGAACATTTAAGATAATTTGGATCTGAGGAAGAAACAAGTCTACTACCTTGAGTAATGGCTATCATTAGGAGGAGAATAATCATTACTTCGAGATCGGTATCTTCCAAGACTAGGCAGAGAGTGAGAATAAAGAAATGAACGAGTATCAAGGAGGGGACCTTCTCCTTTCACAATATCGACCTCCTCTGAGACAGAAAACATTGAAAGTTGAGAAACAAGCAGAAAAAATAACAATTTCCCCTAAGACATGTAAAGCAAATCCAAATTTTACTAGGGCATTTCATTGTTGCATGGGGTTTATGGATATGTTTAGCATCTCAATTTTACACAAATATACAAAACTAAGAATACTGAAGTTACTAATTGTTCCAAAAAAAAAGTATATTGAAGTTACTAGACACGAATTATCCAAACTCTATTAACATGGATATAGCATATCAACTTGCGTCCCAAAGACAAGCAGATAAGCTACATACATCTAAAATATGTTCCTTCAAAATACCATAAGCATCTCAACAGGTTCATTTTATTATTCATCATCTACCCCAAGGAAGTTGGGAATTTTAAATAAATTAAATTGTTCATACATTTCTTTTAATTATTATAGGATGTTAAAAAACACTCGACCACTTATGAGTTATGAGGTCAGGACTAGGAATGCTCAAATAGATGCAAGTTCATAAACCATCAAGTAACAGACTAATTTATTTGGAAGCTAGATAACAAAATAATTACCCCTGAATAAATAATGTAAGTAAAATGTTTTGTATAACCATCCAAAGCATATAAACTACATCTCAGTAAATATATTGGAAAGCATACCTTGCTCGCTCTCTGTGCCTCATTTCAATAGGTTTCTTCCTGTTTTCTTCAGCAAAGACAATGGTCAACTCTCGACCAAGAAGAACCCGCCCATCCATCTTATAATTGGCTTCAGTAGCATCAGCAGGATCAACATATTGGACAAAACCAAACCCTCGAGGTTCCCTGAAGAATTACATGAAAGTGTCACTGCAATGCAACATCAGAAAATAAAATCCAACAAGAACCATACCGTCCAATAACCTTTGCCAATGATATATCCAGCATAATCCCCTTTAATATGGAAAATCATCATAGGCATGAAAAAGCAAGCACTTGCCTGCTAACCTTGCAAGTATCAGTTTAAAGATCACTTGAAATTCTTCAAGACTTGGAACATCTTCAAATTGTATTC